TTCCACGGTTATCGACTGGCGCGACGACATCGACCACCGAGCGCAAAAGCATCAATACTCACATGAGTGTTTGAGTCTAGTTCTATGTTCTCGCTTTACTATATGTCTCTAGCCATTGAATATCATTTTCTGTTGCTTATTGACGTTACTGTGTAAAAAGGACTAAGGATGTTTTACCAAAATACGGGAATCCTCACCATCTATTGCCAAAATACGTCCCAAAAAGAGGGAGTCGGAATTGGGTATTCCGACTAGAGATAGGGTTTCGAAAAATAGGTCCTCCTAAGTCGGATATGCCACTTCCGACTAGGTTTTTTTTTTGTTTTTTTTTTAATTCCTGGCGGAATTGTTAATTCTGAATAAAGTTTTTTTAAAATTGTAAAAGTTTTTTATAATTCGACCCAGTAAGGACACAGTCATCTGAAGTTTATGCAATCAGCCTATATCATGAACATGAGTTGTGAAATTGACCACGAGTTTCTTAATATATAGATGAAATTTTAATATTCACACTTTTGATTCACATTTTTTAGACCCGGATCATAAAAACCCCAATTCGACCAAGTAATGATACAATCATGTGAAATGTAATCAGCCTATATCATGGACATGAGTTGTAAAATTGACAAGGAATTTTAATATTTACACTAGTGTACAAAATCAAATTTGTATTTCATTTTATGAATTTAATTCACAATACGGATGGATTAATAAATAAAATAATGTAACGAACACTACAAAAAAACATGGGATTGACAAAGATTTTGGCAGAGATTTGGTAGGGATTTTGGCAGGGATATGCCAAATCCGTGCCAAAAACACTTTGACATGAGCTATTTGGCACAAAAAATCGATAAATCTGTGCCAAATCCCGTAATTTTTTTGTAGTGGATATTGATACTCGGGGTATTAAAAAAATTCAAACTCCATATTTTTCATTTGAAAATATAAATTCGAAATTCCTAAATTCGAATTTTAACTCAAATTATAGATTCCTAATTTCAAAATTTGTATTCCAATAATTAATCAACACAAAAATAATAAGGGTATGATGCATAGTAACTAGGCCTGTCAATGGGTCGGGTCCGGGTCGGAATGTAGTGTTCCAGACCCGGACCCGCTAAGTTAATAATGGACCCGGACCCGACCCGTTTACCTGGTGGGTCTGAAAATTTGGACCCGGACCCAGACCCAACGGGTCTCGGAATCGGGTGGAGTAGACCCGCCCGCCAAGTATGATACGCACACCATTATAAACTTTGTGAAAATATCAAGACATGTATGTGAAATATACAACAAAGTGTACAAATTTAAAAGTAAAATATATCTTCACTTTTCAAAAAAAATCAAGGTCTCTCATAGAAAATTAGTACTTTTATCTAATAAAGTATCGGTTCTTGTACATGCATATAGCTCCACACTTTGCGCCGCTTTCTCTCGCACAAAAAACTCGTAGAATAAACTAGAAATTAAGTCATAAAAAGGTCTCTTGGAGTATTATATATGATAATGATATAATAATATTAGTAATAATAGTAATAAATATTAGTTTTAGGGTATCTTACTATCTTGATCAGTATCACTTATATAGTATTTATGTATTAATGTGTATATTTTTATTGAATAATCACAAATTCACAATCAATAACTTTATGTATAACCTCAACGCACCGTTGTGTATTAATTTTGTTGGTTAAACCGAACGTATATATGTATATTAGTTTCTATTTTATTTAAAGTGTTATAACTAATCACTTTATGTTTGAGTGTATGTGTATACAAATAAGAAATTTTAAACGAGTCCGGATCCTTAACGGGTCGGAATCATATGTACCATACCCGACACGTTTATTTAAAATACTAACGGGTCTGGATCCGAATCCGGGTAAAAGGAATAAAATATAGACCCTTACCCATTAAAAACAACCGGGTCCGGTTCGGGTCCAGGTCTAGACCCGACCCATTGACAGACCTAATAGTAAATAATCTGATGCTTCGATATAACTAGAATATTTGATGGAGAACACAATTCCCTATTGTGTGTTTGTGTAAAAACAATTGTATACAATCCAATTTATAAAATTAAATGGAACTGAGATCTATTTATTAAAAAAAGAATTACTCCTGTCGGATTTGCCACTTCCGACTGGAGGGAGTGTGTTTGTATTACGATGGGATTTTACCGTTCCTTTATTATAGTAAAATAAAGGAAAACAATAAAAAACAATTAGAAATCCCTAGTCGAATTCCCCAATTCCGATTAGATGTTTATTTTGTTTATTTCTAGCTCCTCCTCCTATCGGAAGAGGCATATCCAACTCCAGTATTTTGCTAACCTAATTGCAACTCCCGCTTTTTGGATCGTTAGACATAAAAATCCCATTTTTTGGTAAATTCCTCAAGGACTAAAGCATAAACCACCGAAGGATTGAAGGAATATTGGAAAACTGGAAGTCTGGAACTCGGTATTCTCTAGAATAAGGATTTTTACTTTTCTAGGAGTTGAGTTAAATTCCTAAATACTAAATACAATTACAAGTCTAGAGTTAACCTTATGATTATAATTTATAAAGTATTGGGCCAATATATTGCTATAAATCATTATCCCTAGCTTTGTGCAACATATATAGTATTTTGAATATTGAAGTATATTTTTTACTTAATTTGATTGTCATTTTTTATCTTTTTTATCTTCACTTATAATTGTATTAGTCAATTTTAACTTTTTGTTGTTCACATTATAATGTGCAATCACATTATATGGCGCAATTTGAATATGTTCTGTTTTTCATACGTTGCTTTTATTAAAAAAATCATTTTTTGTTTGTTATGTTTATACTTCGTAGAAAACAAATTAATATGATATCAGTGTATTAAGTATTAAAAAGGGAGCTAAGAGAAGAGAATAAAGAAGAAGCAATCGGAGAACAGAAGCCCATGAGGCTATGAGAGACTCAGGGAGATGAATTGCAAGGGAAGGAAAGTATGACACTGGATGGGACAAAAAACGGGGAGGGGCGGGCTTCGAGCAGTAAGCCCGCTTAAGAGAAGTCAGAATCTGAAGCAAGGATTCCTGTTGAGGATGCAGAGCAAGCAAATCGGGAGGCAGGCTATTATTTTTTATTTTACCTTTTATTACTACTCAAACTTTTCAGTATGTCTTTTATTTGGTTTAGCTATGTTTTTTATTTGGTTTAGTTGTTGTTTTTCCTGGTTGTAAGACATTGGATTTGGATGTGGGTGACATCGGAATTGGGGTAACCGTTTTTAGCTCATTTGTGCCCACTAATGGATCAACGAGTTATATTGCTTATGATGAGGTGATGAACTCTGAATCTGGTTCGCGAGACAGCGGTTGTCAAGATTCTATTTGTCAGATTACCAATCATCTAAATGTTGAGATTTCAATTCAAGCCAAATTCTTCCACAAAAAAAAGTATTCGAAGTCCTTTTTTTGAAAGAAAGTATTCCATGTCTAGGGCCCCCATAAAGCTCAAGCCGCCCCTGAGTCCATCCCTAGTTTTAGGGATGGACTAAACCGGGTCGGGCCGACTCAGAACCGGCCCGGCTCGGAACCGGCCCGGCCCGGAACCGACCCGCTGTGGTGCGGGTCCGGACCGGACCGGTTGGCCGGTTCCAGGCTTTTAGCCCGTTTGGGCGGGTCAGGCGGGCCGGACTCGGGCCCAGTTTTGGGCGAACCGGCCCGGGCGGTTCAGGCCGGGCCCGGGTCATTTTTTTTTGTTTTTTCAATTTTTTTTCTTTTCCTAGGGTAGGGCTGGGTGTTTTGGGGAGGTTTGGGGGGTGGGGGTGAGGGGTCGGGGGATAACAAGAAAGCAAAAAAAATAGACATTGAACCGGGCCCGGCCCGGTTAGGCCCGGACCCGGTATCAACTCGGCCCGGTTCCGGGCCCAAGGATTTGCAAAAAAAGCCCACCCGGGCCCGGCCCGAAAACGTAACCGGACCGGACCGGGTCCATCCCTACCTAGTTTGGAAACAAATTATGTTTCAAGAATGATACGAAGTATTATAGAACATCTTACCAGGACTCCAGGAGCGTTTAGAATCAATTATTTGTGTCTTTTATGATCTGCTTTGTAATATAAATTATCTACCTGACCTTTTTGGTCATTTATAGGAGTCAGTTTCAAAATGCACAAATTCCATTTATTATAAAGAGTACCCCCATTGATTCTTTATTTCATTTTGATAGTAAAACAGAATAAAAAACACCGGTTGACTATGTAAGCTTTATGTACACTAATTTCTCTACTATTTGTTCTTTTGACAGGTTGATACACTCACAAGTACAGAAAACATGGAGAAGCTTCAAAAGATCGGGGAAGATCTACTGAACAAGACTGTTTCTAGGATGAATCTTGATACGGGGATATGATAGGAACCTATTAGTATAATAATAATAATAAAATAATGTTACATAGTTTCTATTATATTAAAGGGGGTCTAGGCCTGGTATTAATTTTGTTATGGGCCGGCCCGTAAACAAAGTATTATAAATAGTAGCTGGGAATAGAATAAAGGGTAGTAGTGGACTCGGGCCGGTTCGGGCCTGGGCCCGGCCGGGCCTCGGTTCTAGGAAGGCAGGCCCGGAACCGGCCCGGATAACCCCGGTCCGGTTCGGTTCGGGTCACCCGCCCGGTTCACGGGCCGGGCCGCCCGGCGGGCCGGGCCGGGCCTATTTAATTTTTTTTTATAATTATTATATAATTAGAATAAATCTTATTACAATTACAATATATTATATTCGAATTGAAGTATATTTATTTCAAATAAGAAGTACAATTGAGAATTAGGATGAATTTAAAAAATGTAATACATTTTGTAATAAAAAATCAATCGGACTCTCCGCCTTCGGTTGTTTCCTCCATAAAGTGGCGGGAGGGAGTGATGGTAATTTCTTGAGTTCTTCGTTGGGCCTTCAACCAATCGTGAAAGCAAACTAGTGTCTCAAGAGAGCTCGGGCTCAACCTCGTTCTAAAATCGGTTAGGACGTTGCCGGCCGCACTGAATTCTTGTTCCACGGCAACGGTTGATATCGGCATTGCTAGTACTTGCTTAGCCATCTTTGATAAAATCGGGAATGTTCTTTCATTTTCCTTCCACCACTTAAGAACGTCAAAGTCATCACCAACTTCATAATCAACATTCAATGTTAGATACAAAGAAAGCTCGTTACCTGAGCTTTGTTCAGTAGCGGGAGTTGCTCTACTTTTTTTCAAAAGAGAACCAAAAGCGGATTTTAAAAGTGGTTTTCCTTTAGATGAAGAAGATGTTCGTTGCATGGGAGGGGGTGCATTACCATATTGTGCATGAAATTCATTATACAATTGATGAAATAAATTACTAACCTCGTTGAATTCTTGTTCAGGGTCGATGGGATTATCATCGAACTCTTGAGTTGGAAAAAAAGAAGCATAATAGTAATCTATACAATTTGCCAAGTAAGGAAGTTTATAACGAGGATCAAGAACAAATGCAATACCATATATATGCGGAATATGTGAATAATATTTTAAAAACTTTTGTTTCATGAAATCACAAAAATAACTAACGTAAGTGGCGTCGGAAAATTCACAAAAAGCGCCGGCGAGATTAACAGCTTCAACAAAAAATTCGTTTGCGGTAGGTTTATAAACATGACTAAAAGTTAGAGTTGCGTTATTAAAATATGCCAAAACATTAACAATTTTTTCACAAGTGTCGATGTCAGCCGGGTTTATAATATAGTTACAAGTTTGTCTTAAAAAAGCTGGAAAATGATCTTTATATCTAACAAGTACTTGAATTAAATTATAAGTACTATTCCAACGAATAGACAAATCTTTAGGAAAAGCACAATAATTCACACGTCTATCCTTCAAATATTGCCGCCATTGCATTTTTAGTGGAGTGTTAGCCCAAATCAATTTAATTCCCCCCTTCACTACCTCCAAAGCATTTCCTAATGCCGCTAAGCCATCTTGTACACACAAATTTAGAATATGACATGCACAACGTTGATGAAAAAATCTAGCCATCAATGTAGAAGCACCACACAATTCACGTAATCTAGGTATAGCAGCAGTATTATTACTAGCATTATCAAAACCTACAGCAAACACCTTATCAATCAAATTATACTCAATTAAAATACGTTCAATGAGAATAAAAATATTATCAGCAGTGTGACGATCATTGAATTCACGAAAAGCAAGAACACGTTTATGCATATTCCAATCATCATCAATATAATGTGCAGTTAGACCCAAATAATATAAATGATGATAAGTATCCTCCCATATATCGCTACAAATACTAACACGTCCATCAAAGTTTGCGAAAAATATTTGTAATTTTTCTTTTTCCAAGTTATATTGCCTTATAACTTCTTTTTTAATCGTTTTGCGACTATAATTTCTAAATTGAGGATTTAAAGTACCTTGAGCATAATCTCTTAAAGCAAGACTTTCGGAAAAAATAAAGGGTAAATTTTCTTCAACAATTAAATGAGACATACCAGTCAAATGTTTTTTATCATCATAGGAAAAATTACCAAAGGGTTGAGAATTTGCAAACCTTGATATTTGTGTTTGCTTCCCCTTTCCTTTGTCTATTTTCGCATACTCCACAAAGTGAGCGGACTGAAGATGCCTTTTGAGACTCCCGTATCCGCCGGAAATTCCCAAGCTAAACTCTTTCTTGCAATGATTGCAACTTGCGTATCATTTTTCGGTTTTTTCGTCTTTCCTTTTTGTATAATTGTTTTCAATAATAGCAGATTTAGATTTCTTACCAATTTGGGTTGTAGTCGTTGAAGGGCCCTCGTCCTCTTGCTCATCATCCGGAGTCCCGTCGCCCCCGCGTCCTCCTCCCCATCGTCATCCTCGAGCTCCTCTTCATCGATGGTTGTCGGGAATTGTTGTTCTTGTGCAAAACGTGGATCATTTTGGGACAATAGGTGTTGTAGTTCATCTCGCCGTTGGTAATCCGTTTCAAAATCATCTCGACTTTGAAAAGAAGACTCGGCCCGCGCTTTACCTTTGCCTTTGCGTGAAGTAGATCGAGTCGATGCAATCTCCCTCTTGCGGTTGCGTTGGAGATTACCCACATCTACAGAATGTCTACCACGCTCCATCTTTAAAATTGAACAAATATTAGCAATTAACTAATATGAGAAATGTAAAAATTAACTAGTTTTGTTATTTTAATGAGATATGTAGCAATTAACTAATATGAGAAATGTAAAAATTAACTAGTTTTTTTTACTTTAATGAGATATGTAGCAATTAACTAATATGAGAAATGTAAAATTGTAGCAATTAACTAATTAACTAATACGAGAAATGTAAAAAATAACTAGTTTTTTTTTACTTTAATGAGATATGTAGCAATTAACTAATATGAGAGATGTAAAATTGTAGCAATTAACTAATTAACTAATATGAGAAATGTAAAAATGTAGCAATTAACTAATTAACTAATATGAGAAATATAAAAATGTAGCAATTAACTAATTAACTAATATGAGAAATGTACAAATGTAGCAATTAACTAATATGAGAAATGTAAAAATGTAGCAATTAACTAATTAACTAATATGAGAAATGTACAAATGTAGCAATTAACTAATATGAGAAATGTAAAAATGTAGCAATTAACTAATATGAGAAATGTAACAATTAAGTAGTTTAACTAATATTAATATGACAAATGAAACAATTAACTTTAACTACTTTAACTAATATTAATATGACAAATGAAACAATTAAGTAATTAAATAGATAAACGAGAAGTGTATATATAAATCAAATGTATAACTATATATAGTATATATAAATATATAATGTGTAAATATATTATAAGTAATATATAATATAATGTATAACTATATATAGTATATATAAATATATAATGTGTAAATATATTATAAGTAATATATAATATAATGTATAACAATATATAGTATATAATATAATGCGTAAAGAATTATAATATGAATGTGTATAAGTATATATTTATAAGTAGATAATTAATATTATAATATATAAGTAGATATAATAATTATATAAATTATATATATGTAGAAAGAATTTGGAGAAGATGAAGAATGAAGATGATTGAATATGAGAGATTAAGAGAATAGAGAATTTAGATTTTAGAGAGTAGGAAGAGTTGTAGAAGAAGAGGTGTAAAAAATGTATAGAAAATAGGAGTATAAATAGTTTTTTTTTGTATACCCCACCCCCACCCCCACCCCACCCCACCCTAACCCCCCAGACCCCCCCCTCCTATGCTCCCAACGGCTATAGAGCCGTTTGGGAGGTCTCCCAACGGCTAGTAGAGCCTTCAAATTTTTAATTTTTTTTTTTTTTTTGTGACCGTTGAGGCCCGGCCGGGCCGGTTCACCAAATTATAAGCCCGGGCCCGAACCGCTACATGACCGGGCCGGGTGGCCCGAACCGTGACCTAACCGACAAACCGGGCCGGTCCGGGCCCGCACAGTAGCGGGCCGGTCCGGGCCCGCACAGTAGCGGGCCGGTCCGGTTCCGGGTCGGTTGGCCCGGCCCGAGTCCACCACTAATAAAGGGAGGAGATTTTAGAATTGGGAAATTGGGATCTGGGAGAGTGGAGGCCTCTCGAAGTGCCCTGTCTATACCTTCTTATTCTTTTCTGCAATTCTGTTCAATAATAGTGATTGTTTTACTGTTACGAAATCAGTTTACCTATCATTGGTATCAGTTTACCTATCAGGATATATGAAGTGGTTCAAGGGTAGGGTACTAATGCAGAAGCTCTCACCAGCTTAGCTAAGTTACTTTCAGAAGAAACGAATAACAGGAGAGGCTAGCACAAAACCACACAACTGAAATGATTAGATTCCACAATGCTTAATATTGAGTTGTTACTTCATGGAACACATAATTCTGTATTCACTAAATATTAAGATTTTCCAGCATATTGTACCATGACTGATGAGAAATGAAAGAGAGAAAGTATTTGTGATAAAGACATTGTAAAGCACTCAGAGACAGTGATGATATTAAATCATCACTCAGCAAGTCTTCTTAATTGCAACAATGCATAATAACCTACTCTCTACCCCATGTAGCTTTGCAAGTTCAAACAAAATTTCTGTTCAAGCATTGGCCTATGAACATTTGCAACCAGAAATGGCTTTGAGATTCTGAAAGAGTATATCCCTGCATAATGGCAAATAGAACCACGAAATTTAATTGCTACAGAATATGTTCTCATTGAAATGGAATAATCATGCACAGCTAAACAAGGGATAACACCCTGGTAGTGGCAGGTAAGTTCCTGTAGATTAGCAAAACGTAATTGGGATAGTTGAGAAACAAACAGCCAGACACACATTTATGTTTAGATTGGTCGAGAATTGTTCAAAAATTAATTTGCGCAGTTTACATGAAACTAAAACTAAAATAATATTGTTTGATCAATTTCATAGTGGTTAGTGAGTTTCCATTTCGATAAAAATCATAATAAACTAGTAGCCTGTCGATTAGAAATTAGAATTTTATTCCCAAACATTAATAATTAAATAGTTAATCTGATTATAGAGCAAATTAACTTTAAAGATGTATTATTTCAGAAAAGGGCAAACAGAAAGCACATTTTTATATAGTGCAAAATAAAAATTATACTACGTACAATGTAGAAGTAATATTTATCATTTGATTTCATACAACAATGACAACATTACCCCAGTGCCACAAAGGCTTCCACCTATGGTGGAGTAAGGGGTCGGATGTACGCAACCTTACTCATGTACTAAAGCACAGAGAGACTGTTTCCTATTTCCGGATGACCATGATAAAAATAGCGACGAAAATTGCATAACAAAGAAGCCTGATAAATTAGTGAGTCATTTTGGTTTATTCATCATATTCCCAAACCAAAAAATAGTGGGCCTTTGGCTCATGGGTGGACTCGGGCCGGGCCGGTTCCGGTTCGGGCTTTTATTTGAAAATGTGTGAACCGGAACCGGCCCGGATGGCCGGCGGGTCCGGGGTCGGGCCGGGCTGGGCTGGAACAATACCGGTCCCGGGCCGGTTCTGGGTCGGGCCACCCGGCCCGAGTCCACCTCTACTTTGGCTCCATCGGAAATGATGTAAAATACCATTTGATTTCTTGCAATAATTTTTTTGTAGTAGTTTAAAATTAAATGTTTAAAAGGACTCATAATGGACAGATGGCACCTCAACTAGCTTTGCAAGATATTTAACTGAAATAACCCCATCGGCTAGCTGCAAGATATTTTTTGTAGTAGTCTAATTTTGAAATGACATTCAGAATGCTCGATACAAAAAATCCAATTACCTTATAACTGTCGCCCAATCTATTGGAACATTTTTGAGTAACCTTTCTTCTCCTGGTTTTGCCTATCAGCAATCTGTTTAATAGTCCATTTATAAACACAATCACCAAACATAGTATATTGATATAAAGGTGTCCAATGGAATGAGAAAATAAAGGATATGGTAAATGTTCCATTCAACTATTTGTATGAAGTTGGATAGCACTTGCCTTCTTCCTTACAGCAGCAAGCTCTTTCTTTATACCACCTGAAGGAACAGTGGATTTAATAAACACATTACTGCTTACTGGATAGATATGTAAACTAAACTTAAAGCCACTCACCATCATTGGGCTCCAATTCCAAAGCTTTTGTAAAACTTTCAGCTGCTGCATCTATGGCATTGAGCCCCAAGTATGCCTGGAAATCAGAAATACATACTTTAAAGCTGAAGAATGCCAATTCAGACTCTTATCATCTCAATTGCTGAGGCAACACTTCATAAAGTTGACGATATTCTTAAAATTATCGAACCATGAATAAATAATTAGAATATGCTTTATTGATAAAACAATGAAATGAAAAATGAAAAATATCGCCTTAAGCAACTTCAGCTAAAAAGTGACCTCCAATCATAAACTTTTATTTCCAAAGAATTAGTGTTATGTGAAAAAATGCTGTCGGACAAGTCAAAAGAATGGCTACCAAGCTGCTCCTTTTGTATACATATTGACACAGCTTTAAGAATGGGAGACTTGGCGCAACGCTTACAGCACGGGTTCAAGTCTTGGGAGCGGCCTCTTGTTAAAATGACAAGGGAAGGCTTGCTTTTATACAACACTGTGGTGGGGCCCTTCCCTAGACCCTCGCCTTGCGGTGACACCAATGTGCACCGGGCTGCTCCTTTTTATTGACAAGGTTTTAACAATTCATTGAAACAAACAAACCGAGGGTGAAATATCTTCATGCGAGTTCAAGGAAGTAACAAAGAACAATGTTGTTAATTTTATTAAGCCCACAAAATTAGTACTAACCTGCCCTTGGCGATAAAAAGCCTTTGCATTATCTTTAACATCAGAAATAGCAGAGTTAGCATCAAATAGTGCCCCTTCAAAGTCCCCAAGTTTACATTTACATGCCTAGCACAGGCATATTCATCAAAATATTCCCGACAGGCCAACAAAATCAGTAAGACTAAGTAAGAGAGTGGTTGAATAGCTTACAGAGCAATTCGAAAAAATATGAGACCTCATCTTCCTCAAGAACTCAGCACTCACTGTCCAATCAAAAGAAGACTAAACAATCTGAGAATCATAAAGAGTACAAAGAACTACATAGGTCATGATCCACACTAGAAAAACTGACCTTCATCAATTCCACTCTTTTCCCAGCAGATATCCAAGTATCGTATAGCCTTGTAATACTTTCTTATAGCCATTTTATAATCTTGTTTCTATGTGTAAATACATATTAACCAAAACATTCGTAAAAGGAAATGAAAAAGTTAGTCCAGGCTCATCACTAAACATTTGGTTGACTAGGAATATTAGTGTGAGTACATTCTAAGATAACAAGAGCTTGTTTGGTTGGGGGATTTTGTTTTTGTTTTACTCACACATCTCCATTAATGTGTAGTTTTTCATCTTCACTTTATTCCAAACCATCAAGATAGAAGCAAACTTAATTAATAAAATAATTACCACCCTACTCTTCTACCTCCCATCCCAAAATCCCAACCAAATAAGGACTAAGCCACATGAAATGAGTATAGTGTGTCCCACCCACTACTCCCTTGATATTTCGAGTGTTCATTTCCAAAATCCCACCCACATGAAATGATGAAATGACTATACTACCTTGAAGTGTTCATTTCCAAAATCCTTGATATTTCCAGTAGTATTAATCCACCAAGGGGCATCATCTGGTTTAACATCAAGATCAAGTGGCCATTCAGGAAGAGTGTCGCCATCCTTAAAATAGTTACACGTTCCATCATCCTCCCCTTCTGGAATCTCACCACAATCCTCTATGCGCACCTCAAGATCTGGACAATCCATTTCCCCTATGGGCACCCGTTCAATAATCCGAACCAAGCCCAACCCCTTGACGACCTTACCAAACACCACATTTTTTCCGTTCAGATGAGACTGTTGAGTTGTAGAAATGAAAAACTGAGAGCCATTTGTGTTCGGACCAGCATTGGCCATAGATACCGTCCCCTTCCGGTCGTGCTTCAACTCAAAGTTCTCGTCTTCAAAAGCCAGACCATAAATGGATTCTCCGCCAGTTCCGTTTCCGGCAGAAACATCGCCGCCTTGTATCATTGAACCTCTCAGTATGCGGTGAAAGCAAGTCCCCTGATACAACACCATTATCTATACTCAGAACTAACAGATACCGATTACAAAACACACAAAAATGTGGCCATTCTCGGAATAAGAACATATACACTTATCAGTAGTTATGGAGGAAGTCGGGAAGGATAAGATACCTTATAGTGGAGTGTGACGCCGGTTTGAGGGCTAACGCCGCGCTCGCCGGTGCAGAGTGCCCGGAAGTTCTCGGCGGTTTTGGGGACCACATTTTTGAAAAGCTCCACCACTATCCTCCCTTCCCTCTCTCCTCCAATGGTTATGTCGAGGAAGCACCTTGGGTTCGCCATATTCCCGAGCACGCCCAAAACCGAAAAGGTGAGAGTGAGACTGGAGGTGGGGTTGGGGAGGAATAAAGCTGGCTGGCGCGGTGACAGTTACGGCGGGATGGTGGTGGACTGGTACGGGAGCGTGTGCTGATTTTTGGATACTGGCAGGGACCGGTTATTCTAGAACGCGGACTAAAATAAGGACAGGGACCGCAAGATATTAGGCAGAGTCGCTTAACCGTGGTTTGGTTTAATATGGTTTGAGTTGACCTTTATTTGGTTAAATATTTCTCTGAATGGAAATCCTATAATGGTTAATCAATTGCACAAAAAAGAACCAAACAATAGAATACGAGGTTGTTCATAAAATGAATGTGAGCTAACTTAGACATGAGTGAGCAAGCATATCATCTAAAATACACTATGAGACAATTATTATATAGTATATGGACCACGGACCTTCGGTTCACATACTCCTACTGCTGTAACACAAGCCCAACAGGTCCAAGAAGCACAGTAGATCCAAAGAACAGCGGCTCAAGTGTCAAGAAGCCCACGACGCACATACGGGTGCCTTCGGCCCCATGGCCGAAAGCCCAAAAAATTCACAGGACAACTAATCTTACGCATACAAACCTACTGGGAGAAAGCCAGTGGCGGAGCCACATTGATTCAAAGGTGTTCACATGAACACTTAGAATTTTAAAAAATACGCTAATATACATGTATAAATTTAATTTAATTATTTATCATCTTTTCAAATTTTAATTATAGAAAATAAATGAACACCCATAGATTGAACCATAGATCCGCCACTGGAGAAAACGACGGAAGTCATGAGCCCTCGGCTCATGTATGACTTCGACACTTGGGTAGCCTTCGGCTCATGTATGCCTTCGGCACTTGGGTAGCCTTCGGTCGCACAGACATCGGAGATTCCCTTTGGAAACAAGCAACAGCTGCATTTAATGCGGCGTCACATCCGTCCACCGCATTTAATGCGGTGCGCATGCGTATGCCAGTGCCACCCCGGTTGAGGTGACCCCTCCACCGCCAGATTATTGACATGTGTCCTTATCTAGCATTTACTGATACTGTAAATAGCAGCTCATTCTCCAATGTAAAGTATCACAACTTTCCTACTCGAATACACACACTCTCTTACTTATTACTCTGACTTCTCTCTAAGTTGTTCCCGTAATAACCCCTCGGATAAACTACCTCGGGTACACTATTCATCAAGTACCTTGTTTTATTTTGTGCATAGTACTAAACTTGCTTAAATCAACATTTTCATATCCACCGCTAAACTTTTTTGGCTTCTCATATCATCAGCCAATTTTTTTACGGGAGACTCCGTTTTTTATTTCATGTATTTATTTGTGTAGTAATAACAGTTTTTTTTTTCGATTTTGATTTTTTATAGTCGCTCCTATAGGAATTGGTGTAATAGTAATAGTTCTGGTTTTAGGAATTTAGCTCCTCTCTAGTAACCCGAATTCTCCATTAGAAAAGAGATAGAGTAAGATGAGAAATAGTGGGGTAGGGAGAAAGAAAAAAAAAGGTTTAATTGTTTTTTTAAGGAGAGAAATAGAGTGAAAAAGAAATGGAGAGAGTAAATGGAGAGAAGGAAATGGAGAGAAGTATGACTCTTGTTTTAGAGTCCGTTTGGTAACACTGAAATTGGCTGAGTGGACTGTTCTGCTCCAATTTATGAAGTTCTGGCTGAAGTGGCTGCATTGATTGATTCTACTGATTTTTGAAAGATATATTTAAAATATTTGTTATTAATAGATAAAATAAAAAATTATATGAAAAAGTAGTTGAAATTATACTCTACAGTAACTTCAGCCAATATAGCCATAAAAGTAACTTTAATCTTACTTTTTCTTAGTATTACGCAATTCAGCGCGCGAAATCAAAAGTTACGTGTTTGGTGAAAAAACTGACTGATAAGCCCGATAAGCCGAAAAAATGAACTACCAAACGGGCTCTTAGTTTAAGTCACATGTCTTATGGACCAGGACTGGTAAATCCACTTTTAAGTTTATATTTGAGCAACCAATGCAAAAATTGCTTCAATGCTCCTTTTGTGCCTAAACTAGTTTTGAATGTAGAAGGCTCGTTTGAAAACACATTGAATTGTCCGAATTTGGTTAAATTTATTAAATTTTGATTGAACTCACTCAATTCGTTGAATTTGCAATATTATTGAAAAATTATATTTAAAATAAAACTTATGAATAAATTAAGAGAAACTAAATGAAAAATACGTAGTATCTAAAATTGTCCTATACAATAACTTCAGTGAATTTAGTTAGAAAAGTAATTTCAATTTTATTCATTTTGATTATTACACAATTCAGCGCGCTGAGTTAAAAACCATGTGTTTCATAAACTAGTTGGATGGAATGTTGAAATCTAGCGGCCTAGTCCCTCTGGTAGGGTTTGAGAACTTTCGCTGCAAGAGTGCGGATACCGTAGAGAAGGATGGCAAGCAGATCGGCACCAAGGAGCTCGGCGGGTCAGACGGACGTTCAGGAGGAAGGCGGAGAAGTCTCTCAGACGATGAAGGAAGCTTCCGAAGAGGAACGGGAGGTTTCGGCGGCGGCAGTTGCAGGGAAATGTGTGGATAGGCTAACCGCCCAATACGAAGGCTTGGGGATAGGGAGCACAAGGGATGAGCTGCTACTTGACGATGAGGACATCGAGGAAGAAGACCCCGACACGACGAATAAGGGCGTGGGGGATTTTCCCATGGTCGGTACGATTCTCACCGACAAAGTGGTAAAACTCTCAATTTTTCGTGATCTAATGGCGTCTCTCTGGCGCCCTGGTAAAGGAGTGTTGATTCAGGAGATTGGGGAAAAGAGGTAATTATTTACTTTTTACCACAAAATTGATATGAATCGTGTGTTGGATAATGGTCCTTGGTTGTTCGACCAGAACTTGCTAGTGTTAAAAGCTGTTAAACAAGGTGATATACCTCAGAAAATACCTCTAGATACGGCTGACTTTTGGATTCAGGTTCATAATATTCCGTATGGCTTTTCAAACTTGGGATATGTTCGTAAGATAGGGAACTACTTGGGAAATTTTTTATCCTAGGATTATAGATAGTTTGATGAAAAATGGGAAGCCTATATGAGAATCAGGGTTACACTGGATGTGAGGAGACCTTTAAAAGTGGGTGCTACTTTGAAAAAGAGTAGAGGAGAAGGGTATTGGGTAGATTTCAAATATGAAAAACTACCTAGTTTCATTGGACACACTGAGAAATTCTGTGCATCTCTGAATGATAAAGGCGACGTAGAGTCTGTGCGACTCTATGGCTCATGGCTTCAGGCGGGAGGAGGGAGGTCCCGCCCAACTATTGGCAATAAATGGCTAGTAGGTGAGAAAGGGATAGGACGGGACCAAGTAGGGACGCATATAAATACCATTGGCAGTCAGAATCAGGGACAACATAGTCTGGATAACTAAAAACAGGAAGATGGAGATGCCTCTAAGATTGCGGAAGCAATGGTTAGTAATAGTGGAACCGGAGAACAAAAGAGGAGGCAGACATGGGAAGCTAAGGAATAAGAGCTGAAGCAACTAGGAGAGGATGCCATTGTGACACCGCACCCGGATGTACTTGAATTTAAAATTCGGTATGTATTTGAATTTTTCTAGCGAATGTTCGTGTAAAAGAATGATACATTTAATTAATGAATGATTAATTAAATTATTTATCGGGTTCATTATACTGAGAATGGGTGACTGAATAATTAGTTGGGTCATCTTAATAATTATAGAGGCCCAATAAAATGTCAACTAAGGTTGGGGAAAACGTTGGGCAAACAATTGCTATTTTGACCCAACCTGCCAGAAATAGCGGGAATAATTGGGAGGGACTTCCTACACCCACTTGGGGTATTCTACCAGTCAAATAACTCCCAAATAATTGGGAGTAAGATAAAAAAAGAAGGGTGGGGCGTGCTAGACAAGGGGGGGGGGGGGGGGGGGGGAGTCTCCTAGGGACAATTGCCCACACCCCAAGTCTCATCTTCATTATGGTAATATGGCTTGGTGCAAAGGGGTGTCTCCCTATCTTTGTTTCATCCGCACAAGCCTAAGACACAAGATAAGGGAAAACTAAGGAAAAGAAAGGAGAGAAACCAAACTCTCAAGGTCTCAGTTTGAGGAAGGAGAAGCTAGGAAATCCAAGAGGGATTTAGCTAGAAGAAAGGTAAGAACACAACCTTCCTACGGGATGATGGCTATGTGTCCAGGGGCGGGATGTTGAAATCCTAATCGAGAACCTCATGAAGTCTCCGACAGCGGTAGCAAATCCCGTAGAAATAATAAGACCCACGGGTTGGGTTGTACAAATGATAAATGCAAAGAATATATGAGAAGGGCCGTGTGCCGACAAATAAATGAATTTACTTATTATAGAGATAATGAGTGAGAAATATAAATTATTATTTATATTATGATATCACCCTATTTCGGGGGTCTTAGAAATTAAAGCGTTGATTATACTCGGTATAGTTGTCATTGTACTTGTCAAATGCTTTCAAGTACTGACCTCCCCTTCACGGGGGAGGCCACCTCACAGTTTCAGGTAGAACTTGAAGGTTGCTACCACCGCCCGTTGCTTTAAGGGAGATCAAGGGAAGAAGACTTGGTTCGTGCTTCTTCCGTTTCTATTTTGAAACCAATTTAAATAATGCTCATGAATATTATTTTTGAATAATTATTTGGGGGCTTGTATGCTCATGTTTGTCAAAGTGTGGCATATACACTTGTATTAATTGCTTCCGCTGTTTTAAATGAATGTTTTACATTATGTTTGTTTATGGATGTACTATGTGTGAATGGTATTCAAGACGCCTTGTATAATATGGATGACTTGGACCGTTGTTGACTATTCATACTGTACGGCGGGTTGTTGACGTGTCCGGGTAGGTCCGGGGCGTGACAACCATGGTTCTGGAAGATCCAAAAAACAGGATGGAGGTGGGCTGAAATTCCCAGACCCGCCAAAATCTGTGAAGCTATGGATCACATGGAGATTTAAAGTTTCTATTACTTTTAATTATGTTTTTATTTTTATTGTTATTCACGTTGGACATTGCGTGCTTTTGGTTATTGTTGTTGTTTGTTTTATCAAGACTCTAGAACATAGGACAGGGGATGGAGAACTTAATTTACTAGTCATTGGCTCAAGTAAGCCCAATTCAGGATCAACGAATCTGGTTGCTTCATTAGAGGTGACATATTCTAAGTCTGGTTCAAGGACAGACGGTAGACATTGGATTCTTTGTCAGTTTGTACTTTGTACTCTGTTTGCGTTCTCTTTTATTAATATATATAAGCCACCTGCTTAAAAAAAAAATAGTTGGATGATAAGATGAAAATATGGATTACCAATCGGATTCATAGTTTTTTAGTTGCATTTTATCAGTTTGAGACCCAAACTATAGATCCACCGAACGCTTTTTTCAATGTTTCAGACATGTCATATTTAATAAATTGATAATATTTTTTTTAAATCTTTTATTTCAATGTATATAATTTGAAATATTTTAGTAACTCTCATTCCTTACGATCTTTTGGGAACCTGGGAAAAAATAATTTGTGAAATCGATGTAAGAGAATTTATAAAATTCTTTGCGTTGAAATAATCTTTACACTCAACTTTCAAATCCATTTCAAAATTGTAACCTTTTTTAAATAAAGCATTTCTTTCGGACTCCTAGTGTGCCTAAATTAGTTTGGGAAAAGGTGCGAATAAGCCCTCGAACTAAACGAAAAAGTGCAAATCACCTTTTTTATAGGAGGCTCTGTCCGGCGTCGCCATTTGGGGCGGTTTCCGGTGAAATTTTTTGATGATTTTTTTGAGCATCTTCTTCATCAAGTCCAGTTTACCCATATCAAATTTTAACTAAATATTCAACATGGAAGGTAGTCAAATGATTTTCTGAAATATACTGCGTTGTTTAACTGCACAGTTATCTTCAAACATTTATTTGACTGCCTTCCTGATTGCATTTTTATCTGAAATTTGGTATGAGTAAACTAGACTTAATGGAAAAGATGCTCAAAAAAATTCATCGAAAAATTCCACCGGGAACCTCCCCAAATGGCGACAGGCGATCAGAGCCTCCTATAAAAGGGGTGATTTGCACTTTTTTTGTTAGTTCGAGGGCTTATATGAGTGTATACTTTTTTGGGTTTTTTTTTTTAAAAATGGGATTAAACTAAAATAAAGATAACATTCATAAACAGGAGTATTATTATTTTATTCTCAAAATAGGACTCATTCAACCCTAGTTTGAGAAATTTTCATCAATTGATTCTTTTAGGGAGAATTCCCGAAATAAGAGTAAAAAAGTTTGAAAATTCCAAAATAGGACTGTCATGTTTTTATTTCTAAAGTAGGAGTAATTACTGCCAAGTTTGGAAATAAAACATGATAGTCATATTTTGGAATATACAAATGTTTTTAGTACTATTTTGGGTAATTTCTCATTCTTTTAATAGAACTAAATAAGTCATATTGAGTGAATAGAACATATTTAGTTATCTTTGATTTGTGTGAATGTTTTAGTCATATATTGAACAACTTCTTTAGTTTTTATTTATATTTTGTTTCAAAATATATAGTGTAACGGATGAAGTGATTTTTATTATCACCAGGCTGGATCCAGCAGTGAATACTAAATGCACTCACATTTTCGTCTTTTTATTGTCTCACATTTCTCTTATCATTGTCTTATTGTGACGACGATAAACATTAATAGATTTAGTGAAAACAATTCTAAATTTTACAACCTAGCACTCACATTTCCATCTTATTGTCATCTTATTTCGACAACGATAAATACTAACCGATTTAGAAAAAATAACTTTAAATAATATCATCTATCAATAATAAAATTTGTCGTCATACTTTTGTCAATAAAGTAATTTTATTTAAATATTTTTCGGTTTCTCGACTAAGAAAATCTCATATTAAAGAATTTGAGTAGATACATAGCTTTTTCATTTAGGTGCATATACTTCTAAAATATTAAAACAATTCTTATTTTGTACGATCTTTTTGGAATTATAGAAAAATTAATCTGTGAAATAGATTTAAAGGAATTTATAAAATTTAGCGACATGATTTTATTGGTGAGATTTCAGGTACTATTTAAGCTAAATTTCAATATTTTATAGAAAAAATTACACAAATATTATTACTTTAAATCCCACTAACAAAAATATGACTTTTTGCCTTAACTTACTCCCATGATGCCATAAGTGTTTCATATTAGTAGTCACTTTTGTGTAACCCCATTAACTATTGGTATTATTTATGTAAAAATCTCGCAGATTAGTTGAAATAATCTTTACACTCAACTTTTAAATCAGTTTCGGAATTGTAACTCCTTTTTTATATAAAGCACTATTTTCTACCTCCTAATGTGCCTAAATAAGTTTTGAATTTATATTTTTATAGTTTCTACTTATATTCTATTCAAAAAAAGTGTATTAGATGGAATAAATAAGTGAATACTAAATGTGCTCATGCTTCGGTCCTTTTCTATTGTCTCATGTTTTCGTGTTATCATCATGTTATTGTAATTGTAATTAGGGATGGAATAGGACGGGTCAGCCTAACCCGGGACCCGGCCCGATACTGTGCAGGCCCGACCTGGTTCGACCAGGCGATATCGGGACCAGGAATGGGGGCCCGATAAACCGGGTAACAAAGGAACGAGCTGCTGCTCCATAAATCGTGGACAATCCGGCCGGTCTGGGACCGATCCGGGCCCAATTATTTTTTAAAAAACTTTTTGGCATTGAGTTACGGCTAGGTGGGTGGGGTTGAGTGGTTTGGGGGGGTTTGGGGGTGGGGTGGGGGTGGGGAGGAGTAGGAATAAATTCGAAAAGCCATTTTTTAAATAAAAAAGAAATTGTGACCGACACGACCTAGTCCCGGTCCGACCCGGTCCCGATACAAACCTGGTCCGATACTGCAACCCAAAACCCCAGTCTCGCCCAATCCCATCCCGGGCCCGGGCCCGGGCCACCCCCAATTGTAATGGTGATAAACAATAATTGATTTAGGGTAACATAACTTTAAATAATACAATTTACCACTCACGTTTCTATCTTATTATCATCTTATATTCTTATTGTGACTAGTGATGGATTCGGGCCGGGTCGGGCTCGGGCCGGGCCTAGGCCCGGTCGGGCCGCCGGTTCAAGAAAAGTGGGCTCGGGACCGGCCCGCGGGTTGGACGGGTCCGGTTCGGGCCGGGCCACCCGCCCGGGTCACGGGTCGGGTCCGGTTCGGGCCGGGCCGGTTATTTTTTTTTATATAATTTATATTTATAGTTTAGTTTTATACGAGTATTAAAAACAAACTTCAATTGCATTTATTTGAAATGAAATAGGAACTACATTTGAAAATTAAAACAAACTTTAAGAGATAAACATTTTGAAAATTGTAATCAATCGGAACTTCCTGCACCTCCCGATCCTTTGGCTTTGTCACATGACTTCATATGCTTGATTGCCATCCCGAATCCGCCTGAAGCCCCCATTATACATTTTTTTTCGCACCATTTGCAAATTGCGTACCACATCCCGGTCTTCGGGTCCTTCTGCTTATCAAAATTATACCGTATAATGGCATTTTGATTTTCCATCTTAACTTCTTGGAGGAGAATATGAGAGTAGATATATAATATATTGGAGAATAAGAGAATTAGAGAGTAGAGAGATAAGAATAGGAAGAATTGGAGAAGAGATATGAAAAAATGGTTAAGATTAGGAGTATTTATAGGTTTTTTTTACCCCCCCCCCACCAACCCCCCCAACCCCCCCTTTACCCCACCCAACGGCTATATAGCCGTTTGGGTTGTCCCCAGCCCCACCCCCAACGGCTAGTAGGAGCCCAAACAAAAATTTTTTTTTTAAAAAAATTGGACCGGACCCGGGCCCGGGTCACAAAAATGCTGAACCGAGCCCGCCCCGCCCTTCCCACTGGTTCGGGCCCATACCCGGTCCCGGACCGCCCGAACCGGGCCGGTCCCGGGCCCGCACAGTACCGGGCCGGGTCACGGGCCGGGTGGCCCGAACCGAATACATCCCTAATTGTGACCGGTAAACACCAAGTATGTTATGGAAAATAACTTTAAGTAGTACCAACTAACAATAAAAAAAATTCTCATAGTATTTTTGTCAATGCCATATTTTTGTCAAGTTTAGTAAAAAATGTGCTCCGAGCCGATACATCGGTAGATCTAACAGAGATGATGATAATGTTAAAACTTCGCAACTTTGGGGCATAAATTTGATCAACTCTGAACAACTACATAAAAAGTGCAAATAAACTCTTTTACAGGAGGCTTTGTCTGGCTGTCGCTATTTGGGACGGTTTCTAGTATAATTTTTTGATGAAATGTTTTGAGCATCTTCTTCATTAAGTCTACTTTCCCCATACCAAATTTCAGCTAAAAAAGCAATCAAGAAGGCAGTCAAATGATTTTCTGAAATATACTGAGCTGTCTAACTGCGCAGTTATCTTCAAAAATTCATTTGATTTCCTTCCCGATTGAATTTTTAGCTGAAATTTGGTATGAGTAAACTAGACTTAATGAAGAAAATGCTCAAAAAATTCCACCGGAAACCGCCCCAAACGGCGATAGCCGGACAAAGCCTCTTGAAAAATGGCTTATTTGCACTTTTTATGAAAATTCGAAAGCTTATTTGATAGTGCCCCCTACTTAAAATTCGGTGTAAAAGAACTAGACCATGAAAATAGTATATTGTCAATCGATCTCATTATTACGTAAACTAATCATAATTATTCCTATATAATTATTCCTACTAGCTAGCTAGAAAGGTCACAAACGCCCAAGTTTTTCAACAAGCTCATTCTCTATTTCTACTCTCTTCTTCATCAGCAAACCATACTTGGCACCAATGGCTTCGTCACTCGCTTTGACTGCAAGTTTACAGTTGAGGGACGTCTTCTCCATCTTATCCACGTACATGCTTGCGATGGGTACAAACCTTCCCTTCTTGTGGCACAGCCAACCATGAGCTGCCCTTAAAGCACCCCCAAGTGACGCTGAGTCTGTTGGGCAACGTGTGAAGTTTTTGTTCATCAAGGGGAAAAAATGACCAATAGAACTGAAATTAAAGTAATGGACAGAACATGTTCTGTAATATGCTGTCACAGTTGTGGCATTTTCACAATGATTGTAATGACCATACTCGTGTTCAATTTTACACTTCTGTGCATTTCGAAGTGACTCAGTAACCATGTAGTACGGAATACTAGATACTTACAATCAAAGAGAAATTAAAGGCTATGAAAAGTCAAGCAGGGGAAGATAATTTTAGTTTGCGTAAAAACACTAACCAGGCCTCTGCACGGTATAAACATCACAACCCAAAATGGAAGCTACCATGCTCAGAATGGTACTATTAGCCGAAGCCCCACCAGTGGCAACCATTCTTTTTGGAGGAGAAGGTAATCCAAATCTTTCTGCATGAGCTCGTATAGAAAGCAACTGTCCCTCAATAACTGCCCGAACCTGAAATTACATTTCTCAATTCTGTAAAAGATGGATTCAAGATTTCTAGGCTACAAAACAGATTTATAAATTCAGATTTAACAAGCTACCAACCTCCGAAGGAGGATCAAACTCTTTCACTTCACATTTTTCTACACCTTCTAGAGTGTCTCCCGTGAAATTCTTAAGAACGTAGCGGTGATATCCAACTATACAAAGAAGCAACTTCTTTAAATTATCAATTCTTTGAACCAGAATAATGAATATGATAGAATTCATTACTGGATTGGAATGGAATCGCTCAACTTGACTATAATGCACATGGCCACATGGGTCATACTACACAAGATAAAATGTACGGACGAAGCAATTAGGCAGTCTAACTCATGGCCTAGTAACTCATTGCTCTCTTTAACTTTTCAATGTGACAGGCTTTACAAAATACTCTCTCATATCAATTACAAGGTCTCAGTTTTGATCTACACAAATGACACATAGTTATGCAAGAAAACCTTTTGCATTGACTTTCCATGTTAGCTTTACGTTAATTAAATCAAAATGCAAGGGTAATAGACTAATAGTGACATTTTCCAAAACGAAAGGTCAAAGCTTGTTTCTGGGACACAAGTGGTATGTAGCTAGACAGTTACTCCCTCCGTTCCCAAAAATACTTCCCATTTTCCTTTTTGGGCTGTTCCCAAAAATACTTCCCACTTTCCCATTTTGGACAATTTGTGTGGCTCACATTCATTTTACCTTTTTCTCACACAACCACAACCATACATTTCCACTTTATTCCACTTTCTTAATAAGCGTGCCAAGTCAAACCGGGAAGAATTTTTAGGAACGGAGGGAGTATATGTTTATTTTCAGATGTTGCCTCCTTAGATGATATGTTCTACATAATTGTAGAACTGAATACGTAGGCTTACCAGGAAGAGGAGGAAGTATCTCATGCTCCTTATAATAAAAGCCTAACTTGCCACCTATGGAAATCCAATATCACAAGTCGCAACTATCATCAAACCAACAAAAAAGAAAATGGGATTAATGCTGCGGGAAAAGTCATTTTTTTCTAACCGTTCAGAGGTGGTGTTTGCTCTAGATGTTTATTGAAGATGTCCCAAGATTTTTCTGCGCACCTATTCCGTATATCTAAGTGAGCATGTCAATAGTCAAACAGTTAGCAGTGTGTCCCTAATTTTAATTCAACTGAATCCCTTATATGACTAGATATCCAAACGTACCTTCACGAGTGAGTGAACCATTCTTATAGCATAACATGACCATGTAACCTTGTGTATCCACAGGATTGGGAAAGACATGCCCTTCCAGGCTGGGCTGGTGATCAGTGGTGATTCCAAAAACCTAACCAAACAAAGATTAACAATAGGCACTCATGATTCATGAATACAGAATTACCTAGTCAACCTCTACAATTTGTCTGCATTAAACTTTTGCATGAGGGAAATGATAAAGAAAATAAAGAAATAAAAATATAGGCTCACTGTGTCACTTGTGCCAAGACTAATTGCCAAGTCACCAGGAGTATTAAGAGTCAAACCTACGTGCACAGCAACATAAAATCAGCACTTCTATTGACAATACATAAATTGCTAATTCAGAAAGAATAAATCTTCACCTGCCAGGCTGTTTGGATTATCTCCAGACCAGTTAATAACCAAACAGTCCTTGTTAAAGTGATACCTACAATATATTCGTTTGAAATGCATTGGTCAAAGTCAAGCTAATTTGCTATTTTGCTTCGTAAATATAAAAAAGAAACAACAGTTATGAGATTCAATCAAATAGTTAGGTGATTTAATAAATCAAAGATATATTCTTGCCAGATATACTCTTGTCAAAAGGGGCACTAAAACATCAAAGCTATACTTTTGTTATAAAAAACACCAAAGATATAGTAAATACAAAGTAGTTCAAGTGCAGTGCCCAATAAATAATCACGATCAGTCTGAATAGCATAAATCAAAACCTTATAGTAGTATTACAGTCACAAAACAATTTGCATATTACTTAGACACTAACCTCTCCACAAAATAAGGAGCAATGTAACCTGCAACTTCATATGCAGGGGCTAATTTCCCCAACTTTTCCTCCAAATCTGGTGCTGTTGCCTATATAAAGAAAACAAGATAATCACCTAAGGAGTTAAGGGTCCTAAGTTTTAGACATTCTAAAAGTTTAACTGACAAAACCTCAAGAGCTGGCTTTGACCAAGCCCTCTGCTTGATATCCATTAGATTCATCCCGGCCCCATCAGTATGATCAATAGAAGCATAACCTCCAATAAACAGGGACGCCATGAAAGAGCTAACAAGGGAGATTCTTTCTGTACTCTTATAGATATCAGGATATGTCTCATATACCCTCCTTATTTGTGGGCCAGTGAATCTTTCATAGGCACGAGAACCGGTTATTCTAGACAATTCCAATGGACCTCCAACAGCTTTCTCGATTTCCCTGCACTGCTTAGTGGTGCTACTGTCCATCCATATAGGAGACTCTTTGGTAGAAAAAGCTTCACTAAGCTGCTCAATCAATGCTGTCTTGGGATGCAATGATGACAATATTCTATCACTCCCGTTCTTCCAATACACACTACCATGTTGCTGCCCGCTGCCTGAAAGAGCAAAGACCTTTCCAAAATCAAACTTGGACTTCTCAAGTCTGCAGAGGACAAGTTCCAAAGCTTCCACCCACATTAAAGTGGGTGAAACTATTCTACCATTGATTGAAGTATCCCGATAAATGCCATCTTTGGTTTTGTAATGTGGTAATTCAGAATCAAAATTGACCATCTCTGTAGCGACAATATTTAGATTGGCATCTAGCACAGTCACCTTCATCGACCTACATATATCAAAACCGAGTCATAATCCACTTAGATAGTTAGATTCACTCATTTCAGACAAATGAAAAATAAAAAGCAACATTGAAGAATTGAAGGTGTTATTAGATCACCCACCAAACTTGACATGAACCCAAAGGTTTAGTGTATGACAGGTTTTACATATAAAACATTGAATGGTTTAGAGTATGACAGGTTTTACATATAAAACATTGAATTACTACTCCTGCTCGATCAATTCAGAGCCTTAATAGATCCAATTGTAGTTCTATATTTAGCAGAGTTTTTTCAAACAATTTGTTACAACTCCTCATGTGATGACCAATCCTGATAATATTACATATACAATTTACAGGCTAGCACACGTTTAATAAACATTAAATTAAAAATTTCGAAGTTATGATCGTGATCAGCATTGAATTGAAATCGATCGAAACTCCATATAAAGTAGATATTCGAGAGCTGAGAATAAGAAGGCCCAGATTTCCCAAGAATTAAAACGCACAATTTAAAGCAAGGAGCCAGTGATCGGCATTTTTGAATATGAATCATAGCGAAAAGAAGAGTCACTCACTGAGTTGAACTATCAAAGCCGAGAAAGAGAGCATCATGTGGGAGGATTGAAGCCTCCATTGTTATCAAGGTACTGCAGATTCTATTCCAACTAAAAGTACAATCAGATTCCTGCAGGATAAATGGATATTATTCTTCACGTACTTATAGAAAACGTTTTACTGGGATTAGACTTTATTCTGCACAAGAATCGGAGACGATTCAAACGAACTCAAAAAGATAAAATGACTTTATCTACCAAATACGGAGGGAGTACGTTATAGTCTGATTCTATTCCGATATAGAGGTGGACCCAGTCTTAAGGATCGGCCCGGTCTGGAATTGAGTCCAGTATGTTTGGGACAGACTAGTTGGGCACCTGGTCATGGGTTACCAATTTTGGGTCAGTCCCAGTTTCGATTTCTATCCCGATGCTTAAAATAACTCCTTAAAAATCAAGTATTGGGGTTCAGAACCGGGTATAGGACCGTTCGAGTACCCAAAACTTCGGCCCTCCACTGAGGAACTTCACTACGAATCACGTAGACCTGGACAAAACCAGGTCAGCCCGCCCAGCCCGCCCGCACAAATGGGCAGGTTTGGACATATATATTTACCCACCGGCCCGGTTCGAGCCCGGCCCACAATAAGATATGGACGGGCTTGGGTTAGGGTGTAGGCCCGTTCGGGCCGATAAGCCCGGCCCGCTACATTTAGTGTATATATATATATATATATATATATATATATATAAGTATATATACATATATATATACTTATTTATTTATTTATTTATTTATTTGCATATACACATGTATATTTATATTTAATAATTTTTTTATACATATTTATAGTTTATTATGTTTAAATTTAAATTTTTAGTTCTTAACAACTAGCCTGACCAATATAATATCTATTTTTGTACTTAAAGATAATACTTTATGCTTAAATTTTAAATTTTAGATATAGTTTCTCATTATTATTTTTGTGTAAGTATTTTTTTGTATGTGGTGAAAAACGCATAAACATTATAAGCGTATTAATTATTTTTTAAATGTTGTAATACTATTTTTAAAGTATTTAAAAATTCATATAATTTTGAAAAAATTAAAGTTTTCCCGGGTCGGTCGGCCCGGTGGACTACCCGGCCCGCTCTTATGGGCCCGAACCCGTTTTTGTACAGGTCTAGAATCAAGCCAAGCTTATAAGGAAATACTTTCTGACCTTTTATAATGGCAAGTACACCCTATACTCTTTTAATAAAGTAAGAATTTTAAAAGCTATATGTCATAACGCTTCTGTTTTAAATATGGATTTTTGGACTTTTTATTTTCTCTATCTAATAATTTAATCATTATGGAAAGGTTTGCTCGAGTGATTTAAGTTGCTTTTATTTTTCAAAGATGATCTTTTAATGATTTATACACACATAATCCAATCAAGATGGAATTCAATATAATACACAAATTATCATTTTACAGTTGTACTCCATATTCCAGTTCATATTGGGACGTCACCAAATAGGATGGTACCGGTTTTGAATGAGCAATGTGTTATTTTTTTCTTTTCTTATTTAAGCAACCTTTTTCTTTTATGTTCAGTCTCTATAAACATCAATTTTCATCATATGTTTGCTTATGTTATACTCCGTATTTTATTTGAATGTAGTTTTGAGTCTTTTGACTGATGTTAGATCTATGAGCCAGTTTTAACATATCATTTGGAAGTTAGTGTTATAAAGTTGTTTTATTTTTAGAATATTAACTATTAAATACTAAGTCAGACAAAAATCTAATGAATTTGTAAGCCTAAATGACTTTGTAGGTACATCCCTTTTACAATTTAAAGCTTGCATATATTGTAAATATGAAAGTTATTGTGTTTTGGTCATGATTCTAATCCTTGGAGAACTATCAAATAAGCCCTCGAACCTTTTACAGGAGGCTTTGTTCCGTTGTGGCCATTTGGGGCGGTTTCCGGTGGAATTTTTTGACTGATTTTTTTTGGCATCTTCTTCATTAAGTCTAGTTTACTCATACCAAATTTCAGCTAAAAATTAAATCGAGAAGACAGTCAAATGATTTTCTGAAATATACTGTGCTGCCTAACTGCGTAGTTATCTTCAAAAATTCATTTGACTGCCTTACAGATTGGATTTTTATCTGAAATTTGGTATGAGTAAACTAGACTCAATGAAGAATATTCTCAAAAACTTTCATCAAAAAAGTCCACCGGAAACCGCCCCAATTGTCGACGGCCGAGCAGAGCCTCCTCTAAAAGGGCTTATTTGCACTTTTTATGAAAGTTCGAGGGCTTATTTGATTACCAAGAGCACATGAGTCATTTATACATATAATCTCCATATCATCTACGTATATTGATTAAATGTAAGGATATTAATTGAAGTAATTTGGAAGCCATTTGTGTTTATGGAAAATCATTACTATCTTAACAATTTAAAAGTATGTAATTGCATAAACTTACTTGAAATTGTTGGGTGTGTTTCGAAAAATAAAGAAAATAATTAATAAAAATTAATTAATTAAAATGATTAAAGAAAACAGAAAATAGATGGAACAAAAATAGTCAGAGTTCGTGCTACGCACGATGTCCTTAAAACGTATTCGTCGCCTCCCACGGTGCTAGGAGCGTTGCAATGATCGTTTCTCAGGATACGGTGGGTAACGAACTAACGTTTGAGCACACAAACGAAAGTTCCGGCGAACGGGAACAATAGCAGAACACTCAGGAAATTTTCGGAGTAGGTGGAAGTGTTTTTTAGAGCTAAAAACTACGTGCAGATTGCTTGTGAACGTGTAAGAACGTATATTTGTTGCAAAGCACCTGCCAGCTATTTATAGGAGGATTTGTTATGTGTTAAATGGAGTGTTAATGGACCTGAACGTTGGACATCAATGACCAATCCGTTGGGCATTGAATCATCCATAAATAGTCCATTTAACGTAGCATTAAAAGATAAGAACGTTGGGCATTTAATTTTTATAATGGACCAAAATACGTCAAGCACTTCTGGTGCGACCAGAAGACCCCCACCAGAGTTGAGCACTTCTGACGCGACCAGAAGACCCCCACCAAAGTTGGAGTATGAAGCCAGCAGAAGACCACTGAGGTGTTCTGGTCCGAAGCCACCAGAACACCACAGAGGTTTTCTGGTTTCGAGCAGTTCTGGAAAAATAAACGTTACGGGAAGAGACAAAAATTAAATCGTATCTTTGAATGATAGATTTTTGGACGACATTCGTGTCCGCAGGATGTCCGCGCACACGAGTCGCGGTTTTTCTTATCCATTTTCGGGATTTGATCGGCACTCCCCTGCGCACGAAGAGAACCTTTCCCCGTAGGAATCTTAACTGCTTCAAAGAGGGTTCCCTAAGGGGGTGAAAATCCATTGGGTTTTCCATTTGAGTGTACCATATATCAAATTGTAGCCCTTAGCAAGGAGAATCCGAAACCACTTTGACCCAACAAAATGATACCCGGTATTTGATTACTGGACAACGATAACATGTACAGGGACATAATCTGATTTAAAGATAGAAAATTGACTTCTGTATGGCAGGTAGGGAGTGATATTTAGGGCTGGCATTTTGGACCGAAAAAACGAAAACCGAACCGAAAAAAACCGAACCGTTTTGAAAAAAAAAACCGAACCGAACCGAACCGAACCGATATAATTTGGGACCCGAAAATTGGGACCCGAAAAAAAAAACGGTTCGGAATCGGTTTATAGTTCTAATATGTCGGTTTGAACCGAACCGAACCGAAATTTTATTAATAATAATTATAAGAAATTTATAGTTAATTACCTTTATTTAATGTATATAAAATGAAATTCAGTCCCAAAGAAAGCAACAAAGTTCCCCAGCAAGATGGTTGCCAAGCGAGTTGTTACCACAGACGACCCGTGTTCGAATCCCTGGGTCGCTTTATTTTTATTCAATGGTTCAGTTTCCATTTTGTTTCCACAGCTCCTTATCCCACACCGGAGAAATAGAAAACTTCCTCCTCAATAGCAGCTATATATTGGCATGTCTACTGATTCAACTGACCGTGCAACTCCAAACATACTCATTGAGAATGTTGGGCAAAGTAAAATTGGGCTTGAGCTTCTAAAAACTTGGGCCTAGTGTATTGAAAAGTTCAAATATTTTGTTTATTTAATGAAAGTCGGTTATTTTTTCGGTTTTTGGTAAACCGAACCGAATTATCGGTTTCCGATTATTTGGTACCCGTTTCTGAACGGTTCGGTTTCGGTTAGGATTATTTGGATAACCGAAAAAACGGTTCGATTTCGGTTTGACCTTAATCGGTTCGGTACCCGAACCGAGTCCAGCCCTAGTGATATTGGTGAATGCTTTGAAGCTTGATCTTCAAATGAGATTATGCTTGACATTGTTATTCAATTGGGCTTCACCATTGAATCTTCAGCAACATATATTGTTGAGTGTAAGTCTCGTAGATCCGAAAGCTCAACACGAACTTTGGATATATCAGGAATGGTCCAGAATGAAAGTGTATAACCAAATATAAAATATGAACTCACTAATACTCAAAAGCTCACTTGTATTAATTAACCAGTCTGATTACAAGGAAATTCCCGATCGGTAGGTCGGAATAATGTTTTAATAAAAGAAATAAGAGCAATAATGCTATTCTAGAGCCTGAGTATTGAAATGTTAACTCTTACAATGATTTTAAACCTTCTATTTATACTAATGGAGAACATGGGTTGCTCTATGCTGATTGGCTGTTGTTCCACCGACTTGGTCACCCATGTTTCCACTTGCTAATGTCACAATCTGGCATTAATTGCACCTGGCCACTTGCCGGTTGTCCGTTGCTCTAACAGGATGTTGGACCATGCTGAAGACGCTGTCAAATTGGCCCAAGTATGATATACAGTCCGAACTCCGTTCGGTATATCTTCTTACTGGGCCAACCCTTTCTTGGGCTGAATCTCGTTCGGCATGAATTCTTCACTGGATCTACTCATCATAGAGTGATGGACTCGTCGTTTGGGCCGTGTATCTTGGGCCTTCTTGATCCGGATATTGGGCCTCTGGATCAATATCCCAACATATATATTAATAAATGTGTAGTGTTGTAATTATGTGTATATAGTTATTTTGATTTTAAGAGATTGAATGGTAATAGGAGTTTATTTAAACTTATCTGGCCATACATCTGCTTAATTCTGCAATAGTAATTCTGCAATAGTGGAGAATGATGTACG